ACCCTGTATTGTTATGGTTTTAGCATTGTACCGTGCTTGCTATAAAAAGTGTGCGGTGTTGAGTTTAATAAGAAATTAATTACTATTGATTATATAGACAGTACATCTTTATTTTTTTCGCATATGCACGAAAATCGAGATTGTTTAGGTCTTTTAGAATTCAGAATCGCATGCAAAAAATGAGAGAGATTCGCCTCTTAGATTTCGTGTAGTGAGGTCCACAAATTGTCCATTTGGTGTTGTCCGGACTATAATATACACTGCTTTTATACTGCTTTTGGTGAGAACATGCACGCTGATACTGAGCAGTGCACGAGCAGCCAACGAGCTGAATGCTACTGGACAGCTAGCCAAAACAGCTTTGGTTGCGGACACTCGAGCCTACTGCAAGAACTGCTTCTACCGGCTCGGCTCAGCTACTGCGCAGCTACTGCTTTGGTGCGGACAAACCCTAAAGGGGTGGAGAGGCAGGGCTGTAAGTCTGTACAGGGTATGTGTACTGCAGGACCCACTGGTCCATCTGACTTTTTGGGTATTGTGTCAGTTTTGTGTTGTGTTGTGTCAGTATTGTGCTGTGTCAGTATTTTGTTGTGTCAGTATTGTGTTGTGTCAGTATTGTATTGTGTCAGTATTGTACTGTGTCAGGTTTGTATGTTATGTCAGTATTGTACGGTGTCAGTATTGTGTTATGTTGTTATTGTGCTGTGTCAGTTTTGTGTTATGTCAGGTTGGTATTTTGTGTCAGTATTGTGTCAATATTGTGTTGTATCAGTATTGTGCTGTCAGAATATTCCTACGCCAGTTTTGTATAGGGCCCGTTGATGCGTTGTGAGAACACTTAGCTTAGTGTATTTAGTTTGGGACGGGACTAAGACGAGTTCCCCGTCTTGACTTACACGTCTGGTGAGGTCAGCCATGTCGTCCAGACCAAGCCAATAGTCGCCGTGCGGGTCACCGAAACCCATCCGGTAGTCCGCCCAGGATCTCTCAAAGTCCACACGTCCATTCACTCGTCTCTGTCCGGAGGGGGGGGGGTAGTTAAAACTGATAGGACACATACACACACTTACACACACACTCC